AACTATCATTCCACAGTTAATAGAATATATATACATGGTTTGGAGACTAAATAAAAGTACAATACAACTCATTAACTATGTTATTGTCCAGGTTTATGCAAAAAAATGGTTCCTTTCTCGTCATATGTCTACTATGTTTCAGCCAAATTTACCACTGGCATTATTAATCTTGCTAAGCTCCTCAACCTTGACTTGAAAAATATGTTAATCATAAGATTGCTATTTTTTTAGACATGTGATGAGAAAGGGACAATTTTTGCATAAATCTACCTCAACATAGTTAATGAGTTGTATTGTAGTTTTATGTGGTCTCTAAACTATGAATATTCTATTAACTGTGATCATTCATATCATTATGATCTTCATGAATAATTAATTTTGCAAACATATTCACATCTATTAATTGAATGATATCGATGTACAACACGAAATAAATTAAGATACATTTATAAACAAATATAATATATACCTGAAATCTCGCTGAACATTATCAAGAAATGTTGTAGCCGCACACTGTGGTGCTTGAGAGGTTGAAGCAGTAGTGGGAGCTGGTACTTCTGAGATTGAAGCAGTAGTAGTCGAGGAAGAAGCAGGACTATTGGGAACAGAGCTTTCAATCGCGTTTAATGCACTTTTTAAAACAGAAACAACATGCTGCACTTGTTGGTCCGCCATCTTAGCACATGGCGAATAATCGTGGGTATTTCTTCGCGGGAAAAAGGTCGCTGTCCACAGTTAGCGAAAGCTCCACCACGAAACCGTGATTTTTGAATTGTACGACGCCACGATATGAAACGCGCGACTCGACGAGATGAAACGCGACGATACGAAACGCGACGTGATGAAACGCGCAAAGCAACGAGATGAAAAGCGACAAGATGAAACGCGACTTGACGAGATGAAAGGGGACTCGAATACATGTATTACGAACTGAAATAAACGCCTTCATGTTCATGTCCCCTACCTAACTCCATAGTTAGACTCACATGTAGTTTCATGTTTCACTGTTAGCGTCCTTCTTTGAATTTATATTTTCTACCTGTTGAAGGCTATAGACTGATAGCCGAAAGCTTGTAATAAATTTTAATATTTCAACCAGAGAACGTTCTATATTTCAATTATGTTTAATCCTGGTTGCACATCTACGATTTTTTCTAACAGCAATGTTGTTAATTTCATTAATCCATATATGGAATTATGCGAATTATTAAACGACAATACCGTCGATGTAACATCAATTGATTTTATTTCGGATAATTGTGCGCGAAGAACACATAGGAAAAAAATGTCAACATCTGTTCACTTGGATAATAGAAATGTTGTTGTTGCTTCATTTGTGACCGCTTATGCTCAATTAGAACTATATAATGTATTAGAGAAATTAGGTGAAAACGTATTGCGTTATGATTCTGATTCTATTTTTTTTGTTGAAACTGAAAAAAAAAAATTATTCAAACTGGGAATTTTCTTGGCGACTTAACAGATGAAATGGAAAAGGATAACACGCCGGGTCAGCAAGTTCAAAAAATGTGTCATGGCGTTGAAGCCAAAAATTTTGTTGAACCGCGCGTGTTTGGGAGGAAGTCTGGTTACTAGGAAGTAACTACGAAAATATGCAGCGTTTGTGCGAAATTGATACGGAGTACGGAAATATTGGAGGGAAAATTGAAAAGTTCGTAATTTGCGCTTCAAATTGGTACCCAATATAACCATTTAAATTGTCCTTACGCCTTCATGCAATCCAAGACAAAGTAACCTATTTGCGTAATGTGAATTTATTATAAAAATAGCCGTATTTCGGCTCCATAAAACTTTTGCGTTTCTTGTATAAACAAGATATATGGGCGCTTGATAGAATGCCTGTTATTGAGGTAAGAATCGTATGTTTTTTGTTTTTCGTCTTTATCTTGCATTTAGCTGAAATATTAAATTTAATGTGTCAACTTTTTGACAAACCACCATGTTGAATATGAATATGTGAACTTTTATGTAGAAACTGCAGCACATGATATGCTGGCATGAATCAGTATAAATAAGATGTGTGTGTGCTTCTGGGATTCCTAATTGTCAATGTAAGAACCCTTATATATTATTTTTCGCGTTTTTCCTCCTCCGCAGATAAAGATATGTTGTTTAGTCGATAAATGATTCAACTTCCAGCCATATAATAAGCTATGTTGTTTATATTGGTAGCTTTAATATTAGTGGAAAATGCCGTAGAGAGAAACAACCGATTCCCAGTAGCTGAATTTATGAAAGCTAAGAAGGCACAGAACGCCTTGCTTGCAGCAGAGAAATCTGTCCTTAAAAAAGAAATCAGAGGAAAACAGCAGAAAGTACGAAGGTTGAAGTCAAAGGTAGACGCATTTTTATAATGTATATATAGCAGACAGACCCTTAACCTATGACCCCCATTGACATTGTTTACAATTTCGTGTTATTCATGTTTTGCATTTTAAGCGGGCATAACTTGCAGTTTAATTATTTATTTATTTTTAGCTAAGCAGAACATCGTCAAAATCTGAGGCTTTGCTGCAAGAGGTGAACAAACTGCCAAAAGAAGTCAATGTAAGTATGAATACTTTAGTTGCAATTAACCATGCAATTGAATATACATTCTGTACGATATCGGATTCCTATCGCAGGAGGCCAAATTCTGTAGGTATTAAACCTGACGAGCGAACCGGTATGATGTAAACGCAATCATAGATATAATGTAGTATAGTAAATTGTTTGGAAAAAGACCGTTATATTGACAATCTGTATATTGTCATCATGACGTTTCTTTTAAACAGCTAAGGTATCCTATTAGAACACCAACACCACCGAACAACCGACAAAATAATGCTGCGTCAAGGTCAACCTTCTCAAGGCGAAGAGAAGAGACATTCGTTGCTGCATTATCTATAAATGGTGGAACTTTGCTCAACAAACGACCAGCCTTCAATGGTCTTTTTGATACGCTCAGCAAGAAGTGTAAATTAGATGATCTTGGTAACTATGTATTGTCTAATGATAAGCTCACTTCCTATGTTATTGAGCAAAAGCAAAAGAAAGACAGGTTAGCATTTGAAGCTAGTGAGGAAAATAACTTAAGGAGCATAGCCACATATTATACTGCTGGGGTAATGGGTAAAAGGAAGTACCAAGCCGTACGATTATTCTCTACAATGAAGTTTGTAAATGCTAAAAGAACAGCAATTACTTTTATGTCTAAATGTCCCATTCCGAAACTCCTTACCTACAATAAGTTAGCTGCTAAGCTTAAAGAAATTAATATTGGGAAGGTGTATTCTGTGGAGATGTTTGATGATTATATAGAAGCTGGTGAAAAGGTGAATGGTTGTTTTAGGGATTTGGGAGAATATTTGCCCCGATTAGCTAGATTTTACCTAAGTACTGGGACCCGTGCTAAAGCTTTAAATTGGTTTGGTAAACCCGTGGGTACCTTTCTTGTTGCATGGGGAGGTGATGGGTGTCCATTTGGCAAAAATGGTAGTGCTTGTTCTTTTCTCATTAGTTTTCTTAATGCAGGCAAGCGAGTGGTCTCAAGTAGTGATTTTCTTGTGTTTGGGGCAGACTGTGAGGAAACATCATTAATTGTTAGAAAATACATACTTGCCACATGTAAGCAGATGGCAGACCTACAGGGGAAAATATTTGAAATCAATGGTCTGTCTGTCACATTTTCATTTGAGGAAATTCCCAATGATATGAAAATGCTGGCTATGCTTGGTGGAGAGTTAAATAATGCAGCAACATATTTCTCTACTTTTGGCAATGCAACTCTGGATAACTGTCGCGATGTAAAAGGAACTTTCGGAAAGGGACCTTCTTGTACCTGGAAGGCTTGGTCTTATCAGGACAGAATTAAGACTGCTGCTGCTGTGGAAAAATTTAAAGACTCTCTGAAGAAAAAGACTGTCTCTGATAAGACTAAGCGTTCGAAGGTGACAGATTTCATTGCCAAAAGGAAGAGTCGTCAAGAATATGCACCATTGATTGGTAAATTGATTGACAAAGCCCATGTAGAACCCCTTCACTTGAAGAATAATGCATGGCAGTATTTCTTTAAAGCAGTTCTGCGCGAATCAATTGGTAAATCAAACATAGAAACATGCAAGTCATTTTCAGATGTGCCAAGACATTCCTGCTTTGCGAAAGTTGTCTTTGCTCTGCAATATGAAGTTAAGGCAAACCGGGTGGCGAAGAAAGCAATAAAGTGGTATAATGAAACTCAAGCTCACCGAGCAGATTTCGCTTATCGCTTCACCGGCAAAGATTCCAGGCTTTTCTGTCATAACTTCATGCGGCTGATCAAAGCAATGAGTGATTCAAGTGATTCCCGAGCACAGCAGCAGAATGTCTTGGTACTTGCATACATTGGCCTAAGGTTGAGAGATGCTTGCTCTCTTTTTAATAGGTTTATTATTAATGAAACTAACATTAGTGATTTATCTAAAGCAGCATTGGAATACTTTCGTGCAAATTCTCTATTTGTACCAACACAAGTAACACCTACTATATGGACAATAGGTCATGTAGTACCAGTGCATACAAAGTACATGTATGATACATATTGTCAGGGTCTTCTTACTGTTTCTATGGAGGGACGGGAAGCTAAGCACATTGCTCTACAGCGACTAAGTGCCAACACAACCTATCAGAACCGCTGGAGTGAAATATTTAGGCATGAATATATAATGTTAGTTTGGCTCCCAGAGCATGGCCATGAACCATGCTCCAATACACCAGGCAAGGATAACTACATCCCTGAGAGAGCTGTTAATGACCCAAAATATTGTTATTGTGGATTAGAGAAGGTATCGTCTGATGATGAGAAGTGTACTTTCTGTGGCCATAATGTAACAGCTTTAATTGATAAAAGTGTACAAAAAGCTGAGATAGTAACTGAATTATTAATTAACTGACCAGTTGCAACATGAAATTCTGTTGCATATTTAAATGTGAAATATTTGGATACTTTAAAATCCAATTGGTCAGTTAGCTTATTAATTCACTTGCAAAAGAGTATATTAAAAACTGGTGCTTTATGATGTTTAACATTAAAGTATGTAACTAGAGTATGAAGCTTAATTTAGATGAGTTGGGCAAATGCATGTTCAAATGCTAACAATTCAAAGGAATCTCAGATATTTATACTGAACATGAATTTCGATTTGCTTGTTGTTCAAGTTTATGCAGTCTGAATACTTGTACAAATGGTAAAAATGTTTTTAACCTGTGCAGTGTCTGTGTACATTTCCATTACTGTGTGTACATATTATCTATTCATTGTCTTTCTTTTGCTATTGCTCAATAATATATTATACTATGTAATTAGAATAATCTCATTTTTAGTGCAAAGTTTCAAAGAAACTTTGCAGTATTGTGATGAGTAGGGAAATTCACATCAGTCATTCATACAGTCATAGTGTAAACTTTCCGGGGGGTAGTTTATTTTATGCTTTTAGTAACTTTTTGTACATGATCTGTAATTTAAAGTTTTTAAATCAGTTTAACTTGCTTTATTTATTAATGCACTATCCCTTTTGCTAATTTCACCAAAATATTGATGAATTTTGACCGTTACTGTAAATTTTGAAGCATTGTTTTTTCGTGGTTTGGGTTTTGTTTTAAAGAGATTTGCCCCCGGAACACCCAATTTTTTCTTATACGTCGCAACTGCGCATGGGCCGTCGAGCCTTGAATATTATTCACAATGTGAAGAAGCCAGGAGCGACGAGCACTGCTTCAAAACATTCGGGCGTAAAAATCGAGCAATTCTTTGAGAATCTACGAAATTTACCAACTTATGTTATGAATTACGAGCATTCAATTCAACACAAGTATAATTTGGAAGGTTTATTCCATAAATAGAGCTAAGAGGATAGAACGAAATGACGCTGTGTTGTTTATGTATTAATAATTTGATAGATCTCTTACACGAATATATATTATGTCAATAGCAAGTCGGTCCTGATATTCTGCATACAGTACATAAATGATACTATACAAAACCGACATTTTGTGCAGTAATTAGATCATTTTAGCGGTATACAGTATTGATTATAAGTATATTGTTTTGTATCGATTTACGCGTCGACGTTCCACATCATAGATATAATATGCAATGCGGTTTATTTACATTATTTACAACGCAACTATTTTTGCTGTTCTTATGAAATGACGAATAAATTGTTGCCATCATATAAATGTAGTGAATGTACACTTCGTCACAGTTGTTTACGAAGAAAAAGAGACTAAACTGAGAAAATCGTGCCCGGTTTACATGAGCAACTAAAATATATCCTAAGGTAGGCAACTTCAATCACAATATTGAATATTCACATGGACACATGCAAACAATCCGAAAATACTTCAATTTATCCCTAAAACTCAGCTAAAATAACAAGAGAAATGAAATCTACGATAATTTTACTATACACTGACTATTTTTAATAATGAAAATAAGTTATGGAAGCGAGAAAAATGCGAAAAGTTTTTGATATTTTATCATAGGCGGCCCAGAACTGATCTTGCTGACCTCGCGCGACGCTCATATGTTGTCTGAACAGTCATAATAAAAGACTGTTCAGACAACATGAGCGTCGCGCAAGGTCAGCGAGATCAGTTCTGGGCCGCCTATGATTTTATACTCATTTTTGAATGGGCCGATGCTGGACCCGCGCTGTTGACTTTTTGAGAACGTTTGAAAATGACGAGTTTGTAATTTCATTGCTGTTTTTGTTCTCGCTGTTGTGACAGCCAATCAGATAGCAAATTCGTCATTTTCAAACGTTCTCAAAAGTCAACAAACTTTTCGCATTTTCCTCGCTTCCATTAGTTCCATAATTTGTTTTAATTATTAAAATATAGTCAGTGTATAGTAAAATTATCGTAGATTTCATTTCTCTTGTTATTTTAGCTTAGTTTTAGGGATAAATTGACGTATTTTCGGACTGTTTGCATGTGTGCATGTGAATATTGTGATTGAAGTTGCCTACCTTAGGATTATTATACTATATAATAGCTACCTACATTGCCTTGTCAGACAAGCAAGTCGCCTGTTGTAAGTAACAAGATTTAAGTTATTAGCATGTAAATAAATGACATATGTGTGAATTTCATGAAAGTGTACATTTTTAAATCAAATAAAACCATTCGCCATTGCATGGGCTGCCTATGCTGCGACTAACGTAACTTCACTAACTTGAGTACTTTGAGTAATTTCCTTTTCATTAATGTTTAACCTAGTTCATTATATTTTACTGGCATAAATCAAAATGTTTGGGCATGGAAACTTTGCACTATCCTTGGATCCCTAGTTTAGTGATGAAATATCAAAAAGCTAGGAAAGGCCAAAGTTTCAAATAATACAAAGAGTTTTTCTAAAAATATTTTTTATTGAAAAGGGCACACTTACATAAATTTAAGATGTGTCATTATTTTAATATAACATTTGTAAATATTATTATGATAACGATTGTGTATATTCATATATATAATTATATAATTTTTAATTATGTTAAATGATTGAAATTATAAATATTAATAATTATCTTATTGCAAAGGTGTGATATTATTAAATATATTTGTTTGCAAGGCCAAAGCTACATGCAATAATTGGTGTATATTTATATACTCATGTTCACATGAGTACATATTTGGTATCTCAGTTGCTTCTGCTTTAGCGCAAGGGCTCTCATCTTTACTAGTGAAATCTGCTGGCATTAGACTGGGCAGAGACTAAAGTAGGGTAAATCAGGGTACAATTCCACCCAATTAATTAGGCACATGGGCCAGTTAACCCATTGTATCACATTGTGCCCTGATGCACCCTACCTTAGTATTTACTCTGTCTACAGAACTGCCAGATGATTTTACTTGTAAGGGGAGAGCACTGGAACTATATGAATTAACCATAACAAGTAAAATCATCTGACATTAGACAGAGTAAGTACTAAAACAGGGTGTATCATGGTGCAATGTCACTCAATGGCCTGAGAAATAGTATAGTGTTACCTTAAATTTCTGGGCTTTGCATATAAATGAATAAGGTATATACTGGTATTGTTGTAAGGCAGAATTTTGAAGAGATCATGAAAATGTTTATGCAAAATAGAGCTATTATAGCAACTCAAAACAGCTTGAATCACCTTGCACATTAAGACTGGATTTCTCTCAGGAGAAATGCAGCCTAAATCTCTTTTGGGTCAATTAAATAACTTCATTATTTTCTTTGTATGGATTCAACTAGACTTAACACTTTGAGTTTTTTGTGTGCAATGAGGATTTAAATGTAACAGCAATTATAATATAAACTAGCTGTGAAAGGCATATCCAAACTGGTTCCAACAGCCATAATAACATGATACAAAAACCTTCATTTTCTTTTCATCATATTTTAAAGCAAAAGGTTTCGTCTCTGTACATAACAGTTCTGCCTTACAACCATTCTGCCGCCCCTTAAATTCCTTTTTCCATCTTTGCTGAATATCTTGCCGAGAAAGCCCAGAAATTTTGGCAAAATCACGTACCATCCTCCTGGTATCTGTATATTTGACACAGCCAGCATCAACTAAAATACCAAACGAGGTAGAACCACCGCTTACGCCGCACCGAAAGGCATCAAATAAAGCCTTTGGCATATCGCGCGCAAATTCGATGACCCACGGCTTGTGAAGTTTTGGCTTATAAGCCATCCTTCGATTCACCAATTTTACCCAAACCGAAACTTCAGAAGCAAGCATCGGCCCAGTGCGAATATTGGTACCAGAAAGTACATCTAAATGGTTCTCTGGACCTTTGTTTAAGAGGCATCTTTTATAGATTAACTCAAGGGATGCCCGAGCTTCGCTTTGAAATTTTGCCACGTCAATTGTGCCATCACACCGATTAAACAATTCCAGTGATTCATTTAAAACATTGTTAAATGAACTGGTATTATTTTCGGTAGAAATAGCATCATCTTTCTCAAACGAAACGGCTTCAATAACCTCGTCAACAGTGAAGCGTTCTTTGCCCGACGCCATTTTCAAATTTGTTTACTTTTTGACGAACGACCGCAGAGCGATATAGCTTAGTAGCGCTGACGCTCATGACACATTTTTCGGAGTTGCTGACCCGGCGTGTAATTGTAGCGAAACTTGGATTACAAGTTCTTGTAGTACCGGACCAAGTGTTATTCGTATTTAACAAATGAATGTTCCTATTTTAATAAAAAGTCAAAAAAGAACAAAATGAAACACGATGAGATTACACATGCAAAAGGTTTTTCATTGAACAATGAAGCAAAAAAAATTTTGAATCAATAAAACAGTGTGTAGAAAATAAAGAACAAATTATCGATATTTATCGATATTTAACATCGACAAAATTATTGACACCTGATAAAATTGTCTTTCTTTATACCACCTTTCAACCGATTCACGATGAAATTCGAAAAGAAATTTATGAAAAACGAAATGAAAGCGATCTTCAAGATATAAAGTTTATTGATTGTGATAAAGGTAACCCAACAATCGATGATATAAAAAATGAATTTGGTGTAAGAACATTGTTAATCCTAGATGATCTAATGGTTCATGTTGGTTCGGCAACTGCATCATGCAGAGCATCAGAAAATCAAAGAAATTTGAATAATTTAGTTTGCCGCGATAGTCATCACCATGACATGTCATTGATATTTGTCTGCCAAGATATCGGGTATAAATACGTCCTTTTCAACATTAAAAAAGAGGAGTCATTATCATTGTGTGTTTATCAATCATACAGATGTAAAACCAATTTACCAAATGGCTAAAAGCAAAGGAATTGAAAAAAGAAGATTCTATGAAATATATAATGACATTAAAGATAAAAAGAATTCGTATTTGTTTTTTGATAGGAAACCTGACCATTATGCAAATGCACGATGTCGCACAAAAATAATGCCAAATGAAGACACAACATTGTATATAATTTAATTTTTTTCATCAATGAAATAAAAGTTTTACAT